ATCCCTAGTCGGCATCGTTTATGGTTGAGACTAGGACGGTATCTGATCGTCTTCGATCCCCCAACTTTCGTTCTTGATTAATGAGAACGTCCTTGGCAAAAGACTCAAGTCCGCATGCAGCAGCAAGCCAACAGGCCTCGCGTGCCATGTCCTATCTGCGCCGGTGATCTGCTTTGGGTCTCCGCAGAAGAGTTTGCACTCGAGCAGGATGTTTCGCACAAACTACTCCCCAAGTGGTTTGGACATTCTTCTCGGTACAATTCAGGACTTGTCTAACCTACATTCGATTAAGCCATATGAACAGGCCAGTGAATGTTGTGTAAAGCAAGCACAAAACACTACTCTAACACTACTCTACACCAAGATATGAGTTGCGATTCACACCCAAGTAGAAAAACAAGTAGGAGATGAAGAATATGAGAGAAAATGACAAGTTTTTGAGCTCACATACACTAGGGAGAGAAGAGGGAAGGGAGGGGGAAGAAGAAAGAGAAGAGGAGGAAGAAGAAGAAGAAGAAGAAGGGGAAGACGAAGAAGAAGGAGAAGAAGAAGAAGAAGAAAGGAGAAGAAGAGGGGGAAGAAGAAGAAGGGGAAGAAGAAGGAGAAGGGGAGGAGAAGGAGAGGGAGAGGGGAGAGAAGAGAAGGGAGAAGAAGGGGGAGGCATTTCCTCACTCACCCCTTGGATGTCTCACTCTCAATGAAGCTCCCTCCTTCTTGGCTATGGCTTCCTTCTCCTTCAAGCCTTTCTTCTTCCTCTCTCACTTCCTCCAAGTTGCTATGGGCTCCTACCACTAAGACTAGGGAGTCCTCCCCTCTAGGAGGGCTAATGGGACCCCTCTTAGTCTTGCCTTCCTCTCCACTAGCCTGGGAGCTATGGTGGATTACCTTCCTCACTACCACTAGCTTGTAGAGTCTTCTCCCATTAGCTCACCACCTCCTCCAAGCTTCCAAACCGGCAGGGGTTCCCCTCACTACTCTTTGAATGCCTCTAGAGCTCTCACGGGCTCACTTGGGCAGCATGGGCACTCCTCATGCAAGTATGAGTGTGGCGGACTAAATCCCCAGCTTATATAGGCTGGAAAAGGTCCG